TACATACATACATGCATGCATGCATGCATGCATACATACATACATACATACATACCTACATACATACATACATACATACATTGCATGCACGCACGCACGCACGCACGCATGCATGCATGCATGCATGCATACATACATACATGCATGCATACATACATACATACATACATACATACATACGTACATCCATCCATCCATCCATCCATCCATCCATCCATCCATGCATGCATACATACATACATGCATATATTCACGCGTGCATACATACGTACATACATACATGCAGACATACATGCAAACATACATACATACATACATACATACATACATACATACATACATGCATGCATGCATGCATACATACATACATACGTACGTACGTACGTACGTACGTACATACGTACATACATACATACATACAGACAGACAGACAGACAGACAGACAGAAAGACAGACAGAAATACACATACATACATACACAACTACATGCAGACAGACACACAGAGACAGACAAACAGACAGACAGACAGACAGACAGACAGACAGACAGACAGACAGACAGACAGACAGACAGACAAGACAGACAGACAGACAGACAGACAGACATACATGTGTGTATGTATAGGGACATACGGCCTCAGTACGGCCCAAAGTGAGGCGCCGCGACAGCGCTGGGGGGAGGGAGAGAAGAGGGAAATGTTTCAGTCCCCCGAGATTTTCTGTGATTCCTGGAGGTGTTCGGGATGCGTTCCAGCAGCTGCTCTTGGTGGAGGGCGTTCCGGGGCTGCCCGACCGCCAGAGGTTCGAGCTTGGACCCGAAAGCCAGACAGGGAGGAAGTGGAGAAAAACAAAAAACAAAAAGACTGGAGGTTTTGGTCGCTTTCAGCCTCCAGGGGTCCTCACGGGGCCCCAGGAGCGTTCCAGGGAACCTCGCGGGGCCCCAGGAGCGTCAAGATCACCTAAGGCTTTGGACAAACAAACAAAACGCTGGGGATCTGAGAAGAGAGAGCGGGCAAACGACGCGTGAGATGTAGAAAGGAGAGAACGAGTGAAAGAGAATGGGAAAGAGAGGAATGGAATTTTGGGGGGATCATGACGAAGAACAAAGCGGGGAAAGGACGAAGATAAGGAAACTTGAAAGAAGATGACACAACACGGGGAAGCCATCTAGCGGTGAAGCTCTGCAAATTTTGATGCAACTGGTAAAACAACTCATCCTACATTGCCAGGTGAGTTTCTCGTAACGCCCGACACTGGGCCAACGTCGCGAGAGGATGTGGGTTTGCGCCACATAGCTTGCACCACACATATTCCACCACTTATTTCGCACCACTGATTACACCGTCTAGCTTGCGACGACGTATGCTTGCACCACACAACTTGCACATATAGCTTCCACCACAGACTTAGCACCACATATCTTACACCGCACAGCTTGCGACGATGTGGCTTGCTCAACACAGCTTCCACCACACGCTTTGCACTACAATCCTTACACACCGCATCGCTTGCTGTGAGATTGCATCACAACCAGAAAGCCGAACCAGAAGCAAAACCAGGCGATGTGCAAAGACGTCTCACGCGAAACGGGCCCCAAGCTAGGCCAAACCAGGGGCTGGATCAGGCAAATGCTGAGGATGTCTCAGGCGGGGCGCCCAGCCAAACCAAACCAAACCAAACCAGGCCAAACCAAGCGAACCAGGGGCCAAACCAGGCAAATTCTGAGGAGATTCAAATAAAGGAGTGGGTGACCCCAGAGGGTCTTCCCGCAAGGGGTCGTGTCATTTGGAATATACGACGGCGCAGTCGGAGGCGGGTTTTTCTCAAGTGAGCGGCTATCGAATGTTTGAATTGTTCGGGATCGTGCGCGGCGCAACACGTTTGCGACCTCCCCGCGACTTTAACAAAGCAATCTAATTATTTGGCTGGGCCGCGACAGGGTGTATGCGGCTGGGCCGCAACAGCCAGTATGTGGTCAGAGCACAACAGTAAGCATTTGTCTTCCGAATGTTCTCGGGGCAACGGTGCCGCGTTAGGAGAAAAATCCCCGCGGCTGCAACATAGTTCGAAACATACTAACATGTGCTTCAATGTACGGAGCGTTGTTTTCGCGGGCACGTCCGAACATATGTACAAACACTCAGGCGATCAAAACCCCTAGTCTGTTCCGACTATGAACGCATGGTAGCCCATATCGAGCAGATGTGCCAATTCCGCATTTGCAAAACGCGGCTCCTTCTCACATGGCCCCCATAGTACCTACAAGATTTCCAGGGGGTCCAAGACGCTTTGGGGGAGAGGCCAATCTCGACATCGGCGACCAAATCGCCGACGGTGAAGATCGCAACAAAGGACGACCAGAAATACGAGAACAAAGAATACGGCACAGATGACAGTGATTACGACAACGAAGACTACGACTCTGACTCCTACGACAATGATCGCGACCAAGACGACAACGCCTGCGACGAAGACCTTTGAATACGACAACGGCGCGGGTGGCAGGAAGCCTGGAGCCGATCGGCACTCGGCCCTGCACGGCCCAAACCTCCTCGCGCTGCGAGGAAAATCACGACGGGAAGTTGTTTGACGACTCTCTGCCTGCGGGGCCCCTGACCAGGCCCTCGCACCGTCAAAACGATGCGGGATGGAAACCCGTTCCCAGGAAAGGATCCGAATCTCCTGGGAGCTACGCTGTGCATCAGAGATGCGACGTGCTGGGACGGCTGGAACTTCTGAGCGCTGCTCCCGCCCACCTCTTGGATGAAGAACCGCTGCCCTCGCCGTCCCCGCCAGCACCGCCGTCCTCGTCCTCGTCCTCGTCCTACTCGTCGTCGTCGTCGTCGTCGTCGTCGTCGCCGCTCGCACCGCTGTCGGCGTCGTTTTCGTCCTCGTCCTCGTCCTCGTCGTCCTCGTCGTCCTCGTCGTCCTCGACGTCGTCGTCATTGACGTCGCACTCGTCCTCGTCCTCGTCCTCGTCGTCGTCGTCGTCCTCGTCCTCGTCGTCGTTGTCGGGCCACGGCGCAGGCGACCGAACGGCAGGGCGGGTGTGGAGGAGCCAGGCGGGCGGCGCGGACGAGGAGTAGGCGACGGAGGAGGCGCGGGAAGAAGCAGCAGCGGCTGCCCCGGCGTCCGCGGCGGCGGCGGCGGCAGTGGCGTCGGCAGTGGCGGTCGCAGCGGCGGCGGCAGCAGCAGACGGCGGCGGCTCAGCGGCCGCGGCGGTCGCCCCGCGCGCCTCTCCGCGGCCCGCGCCTCCACCTGCCGCGGCTTCTCGCTCGCCAGGGCCTTTTGCCGGGTGAGCTGGTCTTCCTCCTCGCGCGGGAGCTCCTCGCCACGCTGTGCGGCGGCATCTCTGCTCTGTTCCTTCTGCTCCTTCGGGGCCGGGGCGAGGAGTTCCTCCTCCTCCTCCTCCTCCTCCTCCTCCTCCTCCTCATCATCATCATCATCATCATCATCATCATCATCATCATCATCATCATCATCATCATCATCATCATCATCATCGTCATCATCATCAGCATCATCATCATCATCATCATCCTCATATCATCATCATCATCATCATCATCACCACCGTGCTCATCATCTCATCATCATCATCACACATCATCATCATCATCATCATCATCATCATCATCATCGTCATCATCATCATCATCATCATCATCATCATCATCATCATCATCATCATCATCATCATCATCATAATCATCAGCATCATCATCATCATCAGCAGCATCATCAGCATCAGCAGCAGCATCATCATCATCGTCATCACCATCATCATCAGCAGCAGCAGCATTCATCATCATCATCCTCCTCATCATCATGTTCATCACCATCATCAACATCATCATCAATCATCATCATCAGCAGCATCATCATGATCATCCTCATCCTCATCCTCCTCCTCCTCCGCATCCTCCTCCTCCTCCTCCCCCTCCTTCTCTTTCTCATTGTCCTCCTCCTCCTCCTTCTCCTCTTCAGTCTTCCTCCTCTCTATTAGTACAACTCGTAGTATGCTTGTCATTCGTATTATTATGATGTGTATGATTGTTTGTATTGTTCATATTATTGGTATGCGTCGTATTAGTTTTCTTTGCATTAGTATTACTAATACTGCTACCATTACTAACAACACTATTACTATTAGTAATATAGTTTGTACTTTCTTACGAATAAAAATTACAAGTGTGATTCGTAGTCGTATAAACGTTATTCGTGGTGTTACCACTATCTATATTTATATTATTGGCGGTACTTTCCTTTGCACTCGAATTATCAGTGTTGATCTTATTACTAGCATGAGCATTATTATTCCTATGGCTCTATGGTTACTATTATTGTTTGTATTATTATCTTCGTTTTGATGTTATCATTCTTATTCGCGGTCGTCCGGAATCCACGCGGAACATCTGAAGCCTTCTGGTTTCTTTTTGACGCCACTGAAGGCCGCCTGGGCGGCCCTCGGGCCGCTGGCGAGGGTCCCCGAGGAGCCCGAAGCCCCCATGGCGACCAGAGGCAGCTGGGAGAAGGCCCCCGACCCTGTACCCCGATAGATGGATCGATCGATCGATCGATAGAAATATATATATATATATATGTATAGGCAGATAGGCGGATAGATAGATAGATATACAGATAGATAGGTAGGTAGGTAGGTATATAGATAGATAGATAGATATATATATATATAGATAGATAGATAGATAGATAGATATCCAGGTACCTAAATATGTATGTTTATACATATAAAATGTTGAGTGGTTGATGTATAAGTAGACATATTGACATATACATGTATATATACGTATCGATAGAAAGATATATAGATAGATAGCTAGATAGATAGATATATAGATATAAAAATAGGTAGCTAGCTAGCTAGATAGATATATACACATATGTACACATAACCGATATACACATAGAGATATCCAAGGATACATAGACATCTATACACACACGCACGCACGCACGCACGCGCGCACGCACACCAACACACACACACACACACACACACACAGCAACACACACACACACAGTTTCCTTACTTGTGTGTCGCCCGTGTCTCCTCCGTCCCTGGTTTCCTCCAAAGGACGAAATCAATCACTCTCCCAAAGAATTCCTCGCCTCGAGGACTGCGGAGCGGTTGCGAGCAGCGCACGACCGCGGGTCCTTCTTCCTGCTCTTCGCGCTGCTGCCGTCCGCCTCGGCCACCTCCGCACCGGTGGCTCCCCTCCCCTGCTCACCACGGCAGCCCGCCGGCCAGAGCGATCGGAGCAGAGGGGCCAGTCGAAGCAACGGCGGCCCTCCCACCGGCGGCTCCCCTCCTTCGGCGGTGGACAAACCTCCCTATAGCAGACCTCCCTTTAGTGGAAACGGCCAGGGGCCGACACCGACGGACCTGGACTCGCAGAAATAACGGCCGCGACGCCCTCTCGCGAACCGAAAACGGCCAATTCACGAATCGACGTGTCAGGGTAGGAGGTCTATCGACCTCCGATTCCTTCTGTGGGGGCCTCCTGGAGGCTCCTCGTCGCCACGGCTGGATCCGCATCGGAAAACTTGTCACGGCTGGGCCCAGGGGAGGGGTCCGGGGACCGCTCTTGAGCGGCTGTGGGCCGTGCGGGCGAGCCGCCGTTGTCTCCACCAGCCCTCCTCCGACAGGGCTGGACCGAAACGCTGCTTCTCGTTATGTGTTCGTTTTGTTGTTCGTTTTGCTCTACCTGTTTTCCTGTACCTCCCTGCCAGAAAGAGAAACAAAACACAGCCGAAGTCAAGCAATACAGCGTTTAGGTCCAGCCCTGTCCTCCGAGAACGAAGAGGGCGAGGCGCCGAGGGAACAGACCCGTCGGGTGCAGGGAGAGGAACGAGGGGCACAGAGCGAGACCGACGGCAAGAGCGATGCGCTGGAGGCCCCTCCCTCCGCCAACCTCCTCTCGTTGTGAGAAACTTAGGGGAACGAAAAATAACATAAAAAATCGGAGGTCCGCGCGGACCTCCAAGTTTTTATGTTTATGTAGTTTGTTGTTCTTCCCCTACCCTCTCTCCACCCACATCATCTCGTCGCGAGAAACTACTCACGAACGGGAGGTTCTTGCCGACGTTCTGCCCCTGGGGGCCCTGACCAAGCCCCGGGAGCGTCAAACAACTACTTGGGATGAAAAGATGGTCCCCGGGAATACGGGAACGGCGCCCATGCACCGCACCATGTCTGAACTCCCTTCAGGCCCCGCTCCAAAACCGTACGGTGCATAGTTCCGTGTCGGCCCAGACAGCCGAAAAACCCTGCACCGTACCAGTCCTGGGTCGAGGACCGACGACTCCTAGAGAAGCGCCAACGCGGCACGGTGCACACAAGGCGTCCGCGGAGGGAAAGGGCCCAGGCCTCCAGGCCTGGTTCCACGCTGCGGAAACCAGACTAAAAAACACAAACAGCAACAACAACAACAACAACAACAACAACAACAACAACAACAACAATTACTAGCACGTGGGGACACTCCGTTCTCACCAGTGCCAGGGTTTTCATAGGAGGCGGGCAATACCCCCACTTTGTGGGGGGGCCCGTTCAAGCTCTACCACATTTCCAAACGACTCTTCGCCACCACCCACACCCAGCTTCCCGCCCTATGACGTTCGGACACTTCACTTCGTGGCATGCGGACGACCGTGGCTACTACACTGGCGCATTGTTTCAATGACTTCTTGTGGTAACATCTTGTGGAAACTAGCTTAGTATACGACGACGACGATTTGAAGGGCCTACGGTGCGAAAAATGATTTTATGTTGCGCGGTGCTAAAATTCCTACGAAACCCAAAGGTTTTTGAAGATTTCGGCGTGCGCACGGAAAGAAAAAACGAATGTGTCCCGCATGGTATTATTTGACAGGGATGATGGCCCTGGCAGGTGCGCAACCGTTGTCGCAGAAGTTCGAAAAAGTTGCTCGCAAAAGCCCGTTTGACAGAAATGTTTAAAAATTGGGTTTCCTACGAATCCGCAAGAGCGCGCGGGATGAGATTTTGACATTTTTTTATATATATATATAATATCTATATTATATATATATATATATATATATATATTAATCTATTAAACAAAAAAAATTGTTTTTGATGTTTTTTATGTTGAAAATCGCTACGAACACTAAGCTTTTGGAAGGATTTCGTCTTGCGCGCGCGAATGTCCACTTTACCTTATTTGTTGCAAGGGATTCTTGAAATTTGATTATATTTGAACAAGAAATTTCATTTTATAGTGTTTTTTGCAAGGGACAGCGGGGGGGAACAAAACAACCCGATCTTGATGACATCGTATTACCTGAGGCTTCCTCACGAAAATGATGAAAACGTGGCTGCGGCCTAGGCGCGGCGGGGGGGGCGCGCACCAGGGGGCCCAACAATAATTATTCTTTAGAATTAATAATGTTCAACAACAACAACAACAACAATTACTAGCACGTGGGGACACTCCGTTCACACCAGTGCCAGGGTTTTCATAGGAGGCGGGCAATACCCCCACTTTGTGGGGGGGCCGGTTCAAGCTCTACCAAATTTCCAAACTACTCTTCGCCACCACCCACACCCAGCTACCCGCCCTATGACGTTCGGACACTTCACTTCGTGGCATGCGGACGACCGTGGCTACTATTCAGGGCCCCGCGGCCGACGACGACGGCGTGCGCGCGCGAAGAAAAAACGAATGTGTCCCGCATGGTATTATTTGACAGGGATGATGGCCCTGGCAGGTGCGCAACCGTTGTCGCAGAAGTTCGAAAAAGTTGCTCGCAAAAGCCCGTTTGACAGAAATGTTTAAAAAGTGTTGGGTTTCCTACGAATCCGCAAGAGCGCGCGGGATGAGATTTTGACAATTTGTTGTTGAAAAACCATTGGTTGTTTGATGTTTTTATGTTAAAATCGCTGCGAACACTAAGGTTTTGGAAGGATTTCGTCGTGCGCGCGCGAATGTCCACTTTACCTTATTTTTTGCAAGGGATTCTTGAAATTTGATTATATTAGAACAAGAAATGTCATTTTCTATTGTTTTTTGCAAGGGAAAGCGGATTACAACAAAACAACCGGATCCTGTACCCACCCTCTTTTCTGAGGCTTCCTCACGAAAATGATGAAAATGTAGCTGCGGCCTAGGCGGCGCAGGGGGGGCGCGCACCAGGGGGCCCAAAAATAATTATTCTTTAGAATAAATAATGTTCAACAACAACAACAACAACAACAACAACAACAACAACAACAACAACAACAACAACAATCATTTTACCCGAACGCTCAGTGTTCTCACCATTGCCAGGGTTTTCATGCGACGCGAGACAATACCCCCACTTCGTGGGGGGGCAGTTCAAGCTCTACCAAATATCCAAACGACTCTTCGCGACCACCCAAACCCATCTTCCCGCCCTATGACGTTGGGACACTTCACTTCGTGGCGTGCGGACGACCGTGGCTACTACACTGGCGTGGGGTACACACCCACAGAACTTGGTCACTTATTCGGGGCGCGCGTGTGCCCAGCCTCCTGCAATTGTGACATACAATACATGACACAGACAGACAGAGAGAGAGACAGAGAGCAGACAGAGAGAGAGACAGAGAGAGCGGAGTTGGTCACATTTTTGGGGCAAGTTCCTGAGATCGTCGTGTTTTTTGTTGGTCTTGTGCGCGCGAATGTCCACTTTACTTTTTTTTGCAAGGGAGTATTGAAATTTGATTATGTTAGAACAAGAAAAAGTAGCTCGCGCGAGCTCATGTAACATAAATGTTGAAGAACCATTGGTTTTGTGGGAGTCGGACAGCGCGCGCGGGATGAAATTTGGACATTTTTTTTTGAAAAACCATGGGGTTTTTGATGTTTTTATGTTGAAATCGCTACGAAACCTAAGGTTCTGGAAGGATTTCGTCTTGCGCGCGCGAATGTCCACTTTACCTTATTTTTTGCAAGGGATTATTGAAATTTGATTATGTTAGAACAAGAAAAAATAGCTCGCGCGAGCTCATGTAACGTAAATGTTGAAAAACCATTGGTTTTGTGGGATTCGGACAGCGCGCGCGGAAGGACATTTTGACAATTTTTTCTAAAAAAACCATTGGGTTTTTGATGTTTTTATGTTAAAATCGCTACGAAACCTAAGGTTTTGGAAGGATTTCGTCTTGCGCGCACGAATGTCCACTTTACCTTATTTTTTGCAAGGGATTCTTGCAATTTGATCAAGTAAGAACAAGAATTGTCATTTTCTATTGTTTTTTGCAAGGGGAAACGAGCGTCAACAAAAAACCGGATCCGGAGCTCATCCACTTTTCTGAAGCTTTCGCGAAAAAATGATGAAAATGTAGCTGCGGCCTAGGCGCGGCGCAGAGGTCGCGCACCAGGGGTCCCAACAATAATAATTCTTTAGAAGGAATAATTTTCAACAACAACAACAACAACAACAACAACAACAACAACAACAACAACAACAACAACAATCATTTTACCCGAACGCTCAGTGTTCTCACCAGTGCCAGGTTTTTCATGCGACGCGAGACAATACCCCCACTTCGTGGGGGGGCAGTTCAAGCTCTACCAAATATCCAAACGACTCTTCGCGACCACCCAAACCCAGCTTCCCGCCCTATGACGTTTGGACACTTCACTTCGTGGCGTGCGGACGACCGTGGCTACTACACTGGCGCGGGGTACACACCCACAGAACTTGGTCACTTATTCGGGGCGCGCGTGTGCCCAGCATCCTGCAATTGTGACGTACAATACATGACACAGACAGACAGAGAGAGAGAGACAGAGAGCAGACAGAGAGAGAGACAGAGAGAGCGGAGTTGGTCACATTTTTGGGGCAAGTTCCTGAGATCGTCGTGTTTTTTGTTGGTCTTGCGCGCGCGAATGTCCACTTTACTTTTTTTTTCAAGGGAGTATTGAAATTTGATTATGTTAGAACAAGAAAAAGTAGCTCGCGCGAGCTCATGTAACATAAATGTTGAAAAACCATTGGTTTTGTGGGAGTCGGACAGCGCGCGCGGGATGAAATTTTGACATTTGTTTTGAAAAACCATTGGGTTTTTGATGTTTTTATGTTGAAATCGTTACGAAACCTAAGGTTCTGGAAGGATTTCGTCTTGCGCGCGCGAATGTCCACTTTAACTTATTTTTTGCAAGGGATTATTGAAATTTGATTATGTTAGAACAAGAAAAAGTAGCTCGCGC